AGTGCAAACCACGAACTGCTCTTTTGAACAGCAAATGATCACTATACCATGACACATGGAATGTGAGTTAAGATCACTTGATTACCATAGTGAAACTCAAGTTGAACTCTTCTCAATTGTATAATAATTATACTGAGACTACACTCACCTAATCCTTTATTTTCGAAGGGTTTGCTCTTGTGGATACATTAGATCTTGATTATTTTATTTAAAAGATTATATAAATATCTTATTAAAATTTATAAATATTTCAAAAATTACTTCCTCAAAGAAATTAAAATTGATCTAAAGTTTTTCTTTTTTTTCATTCTCTCTTTAAAATAAATTAAATTATTATTGATTAAAATATCAAAATATTTATCTGAAAATCAACCTCAGGAACTTTACATATCTGTTCAAAGAAAAGACTTAGACTAAAAAAAGACTTGAAGGCTTATTGTAATTACATTACGGCCACCAAGTGGCATCCTCATGCATTATACAATAATACATGCATGTAATGATGCGTCGCATAACACACACATATTGGCCATTTCATGTTGACCGGGATGAAATGGAATGGGCAAGTGGACTACGCAACCGAAGGATGAGTGGACCGGTGAAGGTAGCTTCCGTTTCCCGCCAAAGCCGCTTTGCTGGAACCCACAGCGGCCCTTTTCCCGCCAATTCACCTATTCTCAAGGTCTCACCTCGACGCATCATTTGACACGTGTCCTTCGAGGACAGGTGTATTATGGCTGTTGGGTGTCGATGATGACATGGCCCCATACAATCGAGGTGTCTCAGTAATTGCGCAGAAGGTGCCAGAACTGGCAGTAACTGTACCGTGGAGCACTTCCTTTCTTTTATTAGCCGTTCCTTTTCTAAAGTAGGGTCGGGGGGAGATGAGATTAATGGCGTGGCTATGAGCTTTCCGTAAATGGGGGTAGTTATGGATATTCATTATCATATATTGTTCGAAAGGATTAAATAAAATTTTGAGATAAATACTCTAAAATTTAAATCATTAATATATTTTTTATAGGCTTAATTTAATATATAGTTTACTAACATTTATATATATATATTTTTTATTTTTAAATACTTTTAAATTTACCTTTTTTTTTGTTGTAGTTTAATCTAATTTATTAATTTTTTAATAATAATTCATTTCATTTAGTCAAATTAATTTTTAATCATATCTTTTTATGAATTTTTACTTTTAAAATTAATTTTGAAATAAAATTAATTTTGTAAGGATAATAAATTTATTTTTACTGTTTAAGAAATTGTAATTTTTATCACATATTGTTTTAGTTTTTCCTTTTAATAATTTTTCTTTGAAGCAAAAATTAAAATTATTGATATGTTTTAGTAGTTTGTATAATGCGCCGTGAATTGCTTTTGTTTACTTTGGTTTAATTTTGATCTATCTTTTTTGTTTTTGTTATTTTTTTTTAAACTAATAAAAGTTTTATATAATAGA